TGGGCAACCGAGGGGACGGAAGGGTGTCCCATGAAGGATCAGGCTGAGCATATCCAAGAGCTTTTCCTGAATGGTAGGTTTGATAGGCGGGATATAGTGAGCCATATCAACAAGCGCTTGTGTCAGTGATTCGCTCAACCCACACGCAAATATAGGGTCAAGCAAAGATTCCATGTATTTACTGAGCGCCTGCTCAACAGCCAAAGATAGCATGCTGATGCACTCAAACATTGGTGCTTCATTTACAGCAGCTCGATTCCGACTAGCAAATGTTAGCTCACTTTCAATGGCACGAGAGCACTGAGACTAGACTTACGCTTTTAGGGCCAATCCTTCGCGTATGTAGATAATGATTCCATCAAGATACTGTGCAATGGCAGCACCGACTGCATTGGCGATTTTTCCTATCGCTATGAATGCAGCGTCTCGTTCCTTGTCTCTCTTAAGTTGCGCCTGCAGGTAAATCATGAATCTATGTAGGTAGGTTTCTGTAAAGTCGACAGGGGCGTAGGAGGCGAGTATAGGGATCGTCTGGACAACTTGGGCCCGAATTTTATGGTCACGGTGATCCTTTAGACGGAGAACAATCTCACATGCATTCCGATAATGCTCGTTCATGAACATTGCTCCTTTGAGGAGAAGCTCCTTGAGCACTAGGAGCGATCCATGTACCCAGTCCACATTGCTTGATTTAAGCCCCAAAAGTGCTTCCTCGTATATTCTTGCAAACCACAATTGTCGGACTTGAGCGTCTCTGGCGGCTATGATCTCAAAGCACTCAGAGACCGCTTCCGCCGCTGTTTCTCGGATAAGAACCTTGGGGTCCCGCAGAGCGACCCAGATGAGTTCGAAGATCTGTGGAACGAAACCGTAAAGAAGAGTTGGCGAGCCTTTGGCAAGCTCTCTTATGACAAGCACAGCAGCGAAGCGCCTGCTTTCCTGTCGCTCAGACTGAAGCCATTCTAATGCTGACTGAATCTCACTTTCGACCAGTTCTGCAGTAAGAGCGCCGCCCGGCTTCGCCAAACGTCCCAAAGATCGAGCTGCATAGACCAACACTGCATTGTCGTTGCTGCGCAAGGCGCTGCGCAGATAACTAGCGAATCGAGTGGTTTTCTGAGCCGCATCGACACCATCGAAATCAATCAAGCGATCGAGAGCCAAAAGACCACCGATGCGTTCATGTGCATCACTGCCGGTGACCACGAGCTGCGCGATGCGTTGACTGACAGCGTTATAGAATTCGAGGAACTTCTCCGGAGGCCAGTCTGCGGGGTTCGAAATAATTGGATATTAGTCAAGTTCTGGATGCGACCGAAGTGCGAAGTGTTACCTCTCGAGATAGCCAGGACGTTATCGTAGAGCTCAAATGAAGCTCTTACCCGCGTCTCCTCATTCTTGGACTTCAGCTCACTGAAGAGTCGCTGAGTGATGTCCGTAATAGGACCTGCTTGCGCCATGTTGGTAGACCACACCCCAGGGTGGACATTTGAAGTCAACCTCTAGGGCATGCAATTTAACACGAGGTCGACATGAAAGATAGGAGGTCGATGGGACAGTAGTGGGCTTCAGTAGTAGTGAGGAATGAGGTGAAGGTCTCAATGAGCCTGGCGGGATTGTGCACGGACCACAGCTGTTCTCGCCTGGGGCGTCTGCTCAGTACCCAGCCCAAACTGATTACTCACTTGGCTATTACTTAGTCAACCTGTCTTCTAGAATTTCTAGAAACTACAACCACCCTTTCCAGTATAAAAGATTATTGCAGATGCGCTATTTTGTACATGGAGCTGAGATGGTCATGAGGCATCTCTTCACTGGATTCATGCCTAGCCGAGAGATACCTTACTGCGGTCCTACATACAACCCTCCTGGATCGGTCAATAAATGCTTCGTGGTACGAGCTGATAAGAATTTTCGAAAGGACTAAGGTGCTAGGGGCTCTCATTATTCGCTTCATCCGTCAACAACTTGAATTTCAGACTGTGCAATCGAAGCTTTCTGTTCCATGGACTCAGGCACTACTCGGGATCCCAAATGTGACCTCATCAGATGACCCCGGTCTCTTGCACGTGTCCGCAAGCAATGTTCTAGATCAAAGTCCAAATTCATACTTTCCGCTACAATCAATGCCTATTATTTACATAGTTGGTCCTGCAGTACTGCTCTTGATAGCAAGCATTCCACAGTGGAACAAAGGCACCGTGAGAATCCCATGTTCTCAAAATGAATGGTTGAATCCATTCTAAGAGCATACATCTCACGAATAGCAAGCAATCCAGGGATCCATTGCTGTGAATACCTGTCGCATGTGTGACCTCTGACAAGGAACAATTTCCAAACATGGTTGGCCTTTTTGGGCAGGGGTGCTCTACTCGAGGGACGAGACATTCTTGATGTCTATTAAGTCCGGCACCAGTCCATTCAGTAGATGCTCTCTGGTCCCAGAGCACAGTATCTTCTAATGCAGACGAATTCTAGCCATAGGCAGGTCCTGTATTACTGCTCCTCTGTTTGTGGCAAGCTTGGGGCTAACTTTTGAAGACCTTCTGTTTGCAATCCAGCTACACCCAAGGCGCCTCTGAGGAGATTCACCCCGATTATTTGGGTCAATTGGCACAGAAGACTGTTGAAATAGTTGCCCATTCCTCTCTTTCTTAAAGGAGCATAAGGGGCCTGTCAACCCGGCAAATTCGGGGTGCAGCAGGTGTCTGTGAAACAAAGTACACATAGAAGTTCAGGGCTGATAGAGGAGTAATTATCTCCTGGTTAGTCGAGAAATCAGCCATGTATTCCTATGGAGATTATAGTTCTGATCTAGGAGCGGAGGGTCAAGATATTGAAAGTGATATGCCAGCAGGGATAGCCATAGTCGACTAGTTATTGGCTAGTTGCAACTTATAAAAGTCTCTTATCTATTTCGCGACCCATTTCCAATCTAGTCTGTTATAGTGGCCATGTTAACCCGAAGGACTGACTCCTTTTTATCGTCTGAACTACATACTGTCAGCGTTCGACTCCGACGTCATCTGCTTTTCGGGGAAACCCCACCAAACCAATATCTTCCCCCCTCACAAATGACTCAGGCCCAAAAACGCTTGAGATATTGAATGGACTTCATCCCGAGTGCTAACCCCTAATCCGACGGACTTAGCGACGTCTTTTGTCCATCTATCTCCGCCTTGCTTGACGCAAACTTTCTGTGATATTTGTAATCATCGCGACACCTCTGATTTGCGAGCCCAATGACAACCTCAACGCTGGGTCCCAATAATAGTGGGGAAGATCACGAAAGACGTGGGATGCAAGACTACTTAAAGACAGTGTGCCTCCTCAGAGATGTACGTTGACTTGTATCCCCCACTTAGGCGTTTAATGCAACCAGACCCTTACTCAATCACTGGCACAATGGTTAAAGTTCTTTTGACTGGTAAGCATCTTCAAGTACTATCCTAGTCATTAGGTCTGTAGTCTAATGCTCGGTCTAGGGGGAAGTGGCTTCATCGCTGCTCATTGTATCGATGTGCTGCTGGCACGCGGGTAAGTGCAGCATACCTATAGCATGGGCTGTTCTGGGATGAGCTGACGGGGATGCAATACAGATATGATGTCGTGGTAACTGTTCGATCCGAGGAGAAGGGCCAGAAGATTCTCGAAGCTCATCCCAGTACGCCAAAGGAGAAGCTATCTTTTGTTATTGTCAAAGATGTCGCAGCAGATGGAGCTTTCGATGAGGTAAGAGTGCTTTTCTCTCCTGAGGCCGTCAATGTCACACTGGCTTGACCCATCCAGCAACTCTAAGCTAATCGCTGTTAAGGCCGTCAAATCTAATCCACCATTCGACTATGTCCTTCACACTGCATCTCCTTTCCACTTCAATATTTCCGATCCCGTGAAGGATTTCTTGGACCCTGCAATCAAGGGGACGACGGGTATCCTCAAGGCGATCAAGGCCTACGCACCGACGGTCAAGAGAGTGGTTATCACCTCATCTTTTGCGGCGATCATCAATGCCAAGCAGCATGCCAAGGAGTACAGCGAGGAAAACTGGAACCCCGTCACCTGGGAAGAAGCACTGGATCCTTCTGCAACCTACAGAGGTAGTAAGGTATGTATACAGCCTCGTATTTCGCATTGTGATTGGCTAACGTATGCGCCTACCCAAAGACTTTTGCAGAAAAGGCTGCTTGGGACTTTGTCGAAAAAGAGAAACCCAACTTTGACATTGCAACCATCAACCCACCTTTGGTGCTGGGTCCAATTGTGCATTACTTGAACTCGCTCGACGCCATCAACACTTCCAATAAACGGATTGCCGATATGGTCCGTGGCCAGTGCAAAGACGGCCTTCCCCCTACAGGCACATTCCTGTGGGTAGATGTCCGTGATGTTGCCCTGGCACACGTCAGAGCTATCGAAGTCCCGGAAGCAGGCGGCCAAAGATTTTTCGTCACGGCCGGCCATTTCTCAAATAAGGCTGTCGCTGATATCATTCGCGAAGCATATCCTGAGCTAGCTAATAGACTACCTCCCAAGGACTCGCCAGATGATACCCCGGCTGATATATACGGTTTTAACAACAAGAAATCAATCGAGATCTTGGGTATCCAGTACCGGTCATTGGAGCAATCGGTTACAGAAACAGTCAAGTCGTTGTTGGCTGTTGGGGCATGAACAACAAGAAATGGTCGAGTAACTGTATTGTAGAATTAGACTCAATGCACATACAGTTTGGGCCTTGGAAAGAAATATTTCAATTCATGTTAAAGTCCATGGCGAAGTAAAAATAGGAATATACCTCTCTAGATCATTCATCATATTCAGAGATACAACGGTGTAACTCCGTAGTTATTGGGGAAATGCAATCAACTAATTTGCGCTTCTGCGCGCTGCCACTCACCGTACGCGGCTTGGCATGCATGGTGCAATCAACTTTTCTCCAGCGCACTCCGCATCGAAGACACAACATCGAGACACTGCAATTGTCTTCAATAATAACGCCCATGGCGACAGCCAGGTTATCGCCGACGGCGAATCTTCTTCGGAAGTCCCGTCTTTTCGCGCTTCCTTCAGCCTTACCGTTGCCCCAGCAAGATGCAACCTCGAAGACCGTTTACGAATCCGGCACCGCAACCCTGCCTCATCCGATCCGAGCATCCATTGTCACCCCGGCTTCGTCGCTAGCGAGAGGAGATTGGGGGTTGAAGCGACCGCTTCCTGCAAAGTCGACATCGGAAAGGTCGTCTCGGCCTGTTGTCCGCGTCAACGTACTCGACACGTTTGAACATGTCACAGACTTCGAATCCGCCGCCGACCACACGGTGACCTTGGAGAAATTCCAAGAGCTTCACATGCCCATGTCCCTTCCTTCCAAGGTCAACTACGCGACTAGCATGGTGCCTAGACACCAAAGCCCTTTCGAGTCCGTGGTTGACAATACAGATACGAGCAAAGGCCTTCAGGAGCCTGGTGCCAAACAGTTCAGACATTCTGGGCCTTGGCTCGCGGGACAGACGGAGGCGGAGTTCAATGCTTATCTAAATAAAGTGCGCGCGAGGAAGCCTGAGCTACTGCAGAAGCTCCGTGAACACTTCATTACCAAGCGAACTGCTGAACGCAGAAAGCAAGCCCAGGATAACGGCGAGGACCTAGAAGCGCTTGGTCCGCTCAACATCACCGAGGAAGAGTTCCAAGGGTACATCAAATCGCTGCGAGCCGATCCCTTCTCTCTTGGCCCCGTCGTCTTCGAACTGTTGGATCTTCCATCGCCCCCCGCCGTCCCTAGTGACCGTATCGGACACAAGTACTACCAATCTCCAGGTACTAAACTCTCCTCTGCGGAGTATGCTGTATCCGGTCCCCCGAAGACCCACCCTTCTGCTGGTCTGTCATATACGCGATCTCACGCTCTGATCTACAACCACCCGAAATTCGGTCCCCAAGCATACCAACGCCCTGTGCAGGCCCGTATCTTGCGGCCGAAGGGTCGGTTCAAGGGTAAAACATCTAAGGCTATTGCTGGTGTTGGTGGTATCGCGGTGGAAGATCTCAACGCTATGACTTTCATTGAACAAGGCTCGCCAGCAGGTCTTGCGTACTTCGACGTATCCATCCCCGGTGGTGCGAAGTACTGGGTTACTCCCATCCGTGCTTCGGTTGACTCGGACGGTAGAATCGGCCTCGCGTCATACCGGGCTAGCGCCACTGCTAAGGCGCCTTATGGTATTGAGGAGTACCAGAAGCCAACCTTCACAAGTATTTCCCCTGTCGCCCGTGCGGAGCAGCGTGTGGTGCCCAGGTTGGACAAATTGGCAAGCTTGCCCTATGCTCGGAGGGGACAGGATATGTCTGCATCAGAGCAGCCCGGCAAAGCTAGAGAGGACGTTGCACGAAACCTTCTGAGGACCCTGAGTTCTATTTAAGTGTCTGTCACGAGGTCTATACCTGGTGATACAGAGGGCTGGCTGTACGATTAGAGTACTCTTATTTCCTACTGTTCTAGTGATATAAAGTTGGATGCATTATGTAAATTATATTCTGGAGGCAAAAGAACATTTCGAATATCATTCTGAACTCACAAGAGGGAAGTGTGCTCGATGGCACAAGACTGGCAATCTGCACTCATCCGTGTACTCCGTTTATAAGCTGGGGAACAGCCTAACCCCATTAAGAAAAGTGCACTCCGATGCTTATTGGCGGCTAATGTCTTGGCGGTGTAGCCAGGGTAAGGTTTATCATGTGATCATCGTTAGGGTTTCCGCACACCAGGCTCTCCAATATAGCAAGAAAATAGAATGGATTAGGTCTCGTCTTCCGAACATCCATCCCGCCAGCACACAACCGCCAAAATGGGTCGCGTTAGAACCAAGGTAAGTTTCAGAGAAAGCACCATGAGTTATGTTCGAGTGAGCGCCAAAAGAGTGTCAATTCTGACGAAACGGGTTTTTCTTCAATAGACAGTCAAGAGGTCCGCCAAGGTCATCATCGAGCGCTACTACCCCAAGTTGACGCTCGACTTCGAGACCAACAAGCGTCTTTGCGATGAGATCGCTATCATTGCCTCCAAGCGTCTTCGCAACAAGGTAGGCAATCTAATATTGAGCCGTACAGTGGTCGGAATATGACTTATCTGACGAAAAACCAGATCGCTGGTTACACCACCCACCTTATGAAGCGTATCCAGCGTGGCCCTGTCCGCGGTATCTCTTTCAAGCTGCAGGAGGAGGAGCGTGAGCGCAAGGATCAGTACGTTCCTGAGGTCTCCGCTCTGGATGTTTCCCAGACCGAGTCCGGCCAGCTCGATGTCGATGCCGACACCAAGGACCTCCTCAAGTCCATGGGCGTAAGTTCAGCTTCTCAGCATGGTTGCTCGTGGTTTAAAAGCAGTCCGTTAACTAATCCTTTCCACTACAGTTCGACAACCTCAAGGTCAACGTTGTCAACGTCTCCCAGCAGCAGGTTCAGGAGCGCCCTCGCCGCTTCCGGTAGATGCGTGCACCCTTGATGAAAAAAAGTTAATGACTGTCTTCGGTCGATCTATGGCGTGCTCAATTATTCTTGCTCTGGCTGGCTTCGCAGCTATCATGTAGCCTAGAGACACAGGAATGAACATAATCTCGCTGAGAAAGGTGTCGCCGATTCTCCTGGTGGAGATGACGCTTGATTGCCAAAATTTCTCCTTTTCCTTACTATCCGCCTCAGAGCGGACGATGCGTAGAAGGATCTGTCTGCATGATGTGCAGGATGTCATCGGAGAATCGCATCTATTTTTGTGCGAACTGCACCATCAACTGCATCGCATTGGATCAGATTCAGATTATTCCAGTCTATCTACAACAGTAAATTGGGTATCGTCATAACAAAAAGACGCCGTAGAACCGCAAAGCGAAACATCCCATCGAACTCTGTCGCGAAAAGGTCCATGTCAGCCCTGACGAGATTGATGCATATCAAGATCACATTTCCTTTGGCACATAGCCTTCAATGGAGCCTCCTTTGTCATCGCCTGGCCGCATTTGCGGAGGCGTTACCTCGTGGGAAACATCCTCATTCTCTCGAATTGCTATATCCACTCTGCCGGCTCGAAGAGCTGGATTTGCATCTCCACGTTCCATGGCAAGCTCACGAGAGCGAGCGGCATCAAGAAGGGATATGCCAGAGATGGCGCTGGCAAGATCATTCGGCTCTTCAGTTCCTCCCACGTGGAAGTCTTCCAACTGACCAGTGACTTCTTTCAAGGTGGTTGAACTGCTCATCTTGCTCTTTCCTTTTCGTGCCCTTGCTCTGTCTTCTTCGAGTAATACGAGCTCCTTGCCGTGGTTCCCATCCCGGCGCTCCCACGCAGGTTCCTCGGCCAATTGCACCCTTATAAACATTGCTCGTTCGGCGCATTCATCCGAACACCACATTTCAAGCTTCTCTTTCGGGACAATATTCATCTCCCGGCCGCGACCCCCTGGACCACTACCCTTGGCGCCCCATGTGATCCTGTACTTGCCTCTAACATCCTCTTTACGGTGCTCGTTGGGACATAAACCATATCCACAAAGGCCCTCGATGTTCCGTTCAAGAATCAAATTGTCGTAGTCGGCAGGCTGGAAGGGAACAAGGGCTGCTTTGAAAGCTCGAGCATCTTCAGCAGACGGAGCGGCGGGGTCTGCTGACGGCGAAGAAGGAAAATTGACGAGCTCGAGGATGCGGTCGAGGATTAGAGCTTCTGTGTCTTTCTGTGCCTGAATCTGGTGCGCATGGTGCATGGCGATTGCGAGATGTCGTGGATCGACGTTTGGCCTGTTCGTGGGTTGGCCCTTTTGATGCTCGGGCGCCTTTGACTTGGGTGGCGCACGGCGGGCATTGCTGGGCTTTTGTAGTGCTGCTGGAGAGGAGGCAGCATGTGTAGTTGGCAGAGAAGTTTTGAGAATAGGTTTCTTTGCGGACATGATAGGCTTTGAATATGGGTGACCTCAGCAGCGACACTATCGTTGCGCTCAGTAGCAGAACACGAATAGCAAAGAAGAAAGAAGCTGATACAGTAGTGGTGTTTGTCGGGCTGGCACGAGGCAAACCCCGGATTCGATGAAAAGGTTTTAGTGAGCCAGCAGTGGAATGATGTAGTCGAAATTTAATTAAAACGAGCACCAAAGGAAGATACTGTTGAAAATTCGGGCACTTAAAAGTAGTAGTGCCTTAATCCAGTGTGTTTTGTTAAAAGGATAATCATCATTCTCTAGAAGTGAATTTGGAGTGAACATTGTTCTGAGGTAGCCGCTGATCGCCCGTTGTGGAGCACCCTGTCCCGCCTGACAGTGACGACCACCACTCGCTGCTACGAGCCTACTGCCACCTCCATGATTCCCCTCGATGTCTCCTCTTCGTCTTCTCTAAACTACTTGTCCCTTTTATTTTTCTACGTCCTTGGCATTAAATCACATACGCACTTTGTCTCATCTAAGATCAGTGCGCCTTTTTATAGTGAGTGACTTAATTCAGTGATCAGTCTCAGGGTGCTCGCTTGCCTTAGGGGCATATACTCTGACGTACATACTGCGGATCGATCAGGCTGACAGATAACTCTGTTTTGCGTCCAGCGTACATTCCTTCATTCGCAAAGTGCATTTCCATATGACCGACTGCATTGAGATCGTCCAGGAAGGCCTCTCTTGATAACACATAGAGCTCCTTTCTCCGTCCCTCCTTTGTGGACCACCCGCACCGCTTCCACCTTACCATTTCGTGTCAATTAGCCTGATATTTCGACTACTATCACAATTTCTTCGCAACAGAGTCCGGCTTGCCAGATGTCCAGCCCGCCGTTCACGGTCAAATCGGTCTTCGAGTACACTTCGGACCATGATGATGACCTTAATTTCCCAATCGGCCAAGTCATAACCGTTACTGCCGAGGAAGATGCGGAGTGGTATTTTGGCGAGTACACGAATGACTCGGGGGTCAAGGTAGAAGGCATCTTCCCGAAGAATTTCGTTGAGAGGTATGAACCTCCTGCACCCCCGCGGCCGACACGCCCTAGCAGACCAAAGAAAGAAGCCAATGCTGCCGCTCCGTCCGAACCCGCTGCTGCGGAAACTCATGCAGAACGCCTTCCCTCTCCGGAGCCAGCACCGGAGAGCGCCCCTTCGTTCGAACAGGAGCCCGTGCTCGAAACGCCCAGATCGCCTCCGAGTACTGCGCAAGCGCCGGCACCTGAGGTCTCTTCTCCGCCGCAGCCAGTTCAAGTTCAAGCTCCAATTTCGGCAGCCCCGCCGGCCGCTCCTTCGGCCCCAAGTGAGCCGAAAGAGCCAGCCACCAAATCGGCATCTAAACCAGCACCTCCCCCGGTTGCAGAGAAACCTAGTGGGTCATCATTTAAGGACCGGATCGCGGCTTTCAACAAACCCGCTGCGCCGCCTATCGCGCCTTACAAGCCAGGAGGCTTCGGCGGCCAGAATCCGACGTCGTTCATCAAGAAACCGTTTGTTGCGCCACCCCCAAGCAAGAACTCCTTCGTGCCTCCGCCCAGAGAGCCGCCTCCGAAGGTCTATCGGCGGGAAGAAGATACAGAAATACAAGAGCGTGCTATGCGCGAGCCTCCGGTTTCTGAGAGCAGACCTGCACCCGTTGAAGTAACTGAAGAAGGGGCGGAAGATCAGCCAAAGCCAACCAGCCTAAAGGAACGAATTGCTCTTCTGCAGAAGCAGCAATTGGAGCAAGCGGCTCGCCATGCTGAAGCAGCTCAGAAGAAGGAGAAGGCTAAGAGGCCCCCAAAGCAGCGTATGGAATCTCACGAGGACCGCACCGCCGTGGAAGAGCAGGAGCATGAAAGCTCTGGTGCAGCTCCGTCGGCAAGGGATCACAGTGTCGAGACCGTGAAGCCTGACCCTCTCCCTGAGGGACAATTAGGAACGCCCCCGCCTGGACCAGAGCCGGCCAGTGATGCTAACGACGCTGACTATTCCGCCGCCGCTGACACCGAAGATGCGGAAGAGACTTCAACAAGCAAGGAGGATCTCGAAGATCGTTCTGGGACCGAGACCCGTCAAGCACCGGAGCCTGAGAAACAGAGAGAGACTAGCGACAAGCTTGAACCGGACGAGGGAGATGAGAGTGACGAAGAGGAGGAAGAGGAAGAGATTGACCCCGAAATCAAGCGTAGGATGGAGCTTAGGGAAAGAATGGCGAAGATGAGCGGTGGTATGGGTATGATGGGGTTCTTTGGTCCTCCTGGTGGGATGCCTGTTCCGGCCGCAGGACCTCGCAAGACAAAAGCGGCTGCGGAGATGGAGAAAAAGACGGAAGACTCAGATGTGACTGCTCCAGCAACTGCTCCACCAGTCCCCGTGATGGCACTGCCGGGAATGAACGCCGTTAGGCCAACAGCAGCTTCTCCAAGCGTACAGAAGGAAGAGGATGTGCCTCAGCCTACTTCCATCACCGAACAGCATCCTCCTCAGGAAATCCCTGATGTAGAGGACGTCGTGGAGGAGGATCCTTCTCGTCGCGCTCCTGATGAGAGGCCTGCCGCACCGCAGGGTATGCATCCTTGTTTCTCCTGCCGACGATGATCGCAGTCGTCTTTGGACCATCACTTACATCTTACAGAGCGTCCAGTACCCCCGCCTCCGCCGAGAGAAACACGGCCAGCCCCGCCTCCAATTCCTCAGGACCGGCCGCTGTCTCCACCGGCTGTTCCAGGTGGTGAGATTATGCCCCCCTATATCTTGAGTTAGGCAGCGCTGACACCTAGAAGAATCTCGACCTGTCCCTCCTCCTCCCAAAATCCCCGCTACTGCTGATCTCGGTGAGGAATCGGACGACGAACTTTCTGTACGTGCGAATGATCTCTCTTTGAATGCCACCGAAGCGGAGCAGGAACGGCCTGCAGCTGCTCAGTCGATTTCGGCTCCTCCCCTTCCTGACCATCTCGATTCGCGGCGTTCCTCAACCTACGAACCTACTTCTCCAAAGTCTCCTACTCTTCCCTCGGAGAAGAGAATGAGTCGCCCGCCTCCGCCGATCCCAACAAATCCACCGATGTCACCACAGTTCCAGGGCAGGGCTCCTCCCCCGCCACCTCCTGGCAACATCCGCCGTAGATCAACTGTGGATAGCAGAGCAAGCGCAGTCTCACACCCTCGCCAAGCTGGTGAAGATCTTGAAGGAGAAGTCACCGAGTATGATGGGGACTACGATACGGATATCGCGTCTGGGGCCAAATTCAAAGATGCCTTGAAATCTCATGGCCGCGATTCTAGCGTTGACGAAGGTACTATAACCGATGATCATTCTCTTCAGTCTCCACGAAGCCCTCAAGAGGCCCGCCTTCCTCCTCCGCCACCTCCTTCTGCACCCAGAGCCGTTCCACCGCCGCCACCCATTCAGCCACCGAAGAGCAGCGGAGGCGCTTCTCTTGAGTCTCCTAGAGGACCTCCGCCGCCGCCGCCTCCTCACAGAGAGCTGTCTTTCGGAGGGGAAGAAGAATATGATCCATATCG